GAGTCTGAAAGCCTGAGATGTGGGCAAGGCTTGCTTTTTAAAGTCTACACACAGCCATCCTGCTTTCTGCTCTGCTTTTCTTTTCGTTTTCTTTCTTTGTGGTTATTTTCTCTGTGAGCTCAAGCTGAGCCCTAGTCCCGGGGTATGCAAACCTTTCTGCCACTTCCATGCGCAGAAGTTTTGAGGAGGGAGAGTGAGGAGATTTCATTGAAGGGCAGACAGTGTATGACAAACTCCTTTTCTTTTGGTTGTTGAGGAGACATTCCTGAGCCAGTCCATCTCTTTAGTCATGGTTGAAGTCTATTTCCTGACCCCTTCCAGTTCCCTCCTTGCCTGGTGTCTGTCTTTTCCTGGACTGAACTCATTTCTAGCCCAGAGCAAACTGCTGCCTTTGGCTTGCTGGAGCAGGTTCTCCCCTTCTTCCCATGCTAGCAGTTCTATCAAGCTGCTGATATTCCTTCTCACTGCTGCACCTGCATATGCCCCAGGTTCACACAGCATTCCTTACCTGTATACCCCCAAATCCCTTGCCTTGAGCCGAGTTTCTTACTTGATGTGGCCCTTCTGTCTAGCTGACATGAGTGGTTCTGCCTTTCTTTAACTTTGTGCTCTTTTTTGTTGTTTTAAGCACTTGTGTTATCATCTTCTTTCATCCCTTACTCCAGGAAGGTAATTGTCCCCAAAGCAGCTTTCTCCAGTTGTCTTCCATATCTCAGTGAGGAACTCCAGTGCCGCGGCCCTGGATGGTGGGAGCAGGGAGGCTGCAGTGGTGAGCATGGTCCAGTGATGTCAGATCACTTCGTTAGCCTTGAAACTCATGGCTGAGGGAAGACAGAGAAGCACTGAGCTGCTTGTGGAGGAGCCTGGCCTGGTGGCCACCGAACCGTGCAGTGAGGAGTTGAGAAAGCTGTGTTAGGCAACCCAACTTTGTGCCTGCGCTTATGCGCCTGCGAGTGGACTGGGTCTGAGCTCCGTTTCACTCCAAGCCTGAGTTATTCCAGCCCAGTGACTCAATTTATTTCTGTCTCTGCTCCTGACATTTCTCTTTCAGGTGGCTGCTGCCTAGTTTTGGGTGGGGCGGTGGGCTGGGGTGACTCATGTTTCCAAGCTCTTATCGGCATCAGTATGATGTTCTGCTTTTCTTTGCTGTCATATGGCATCCCGCTCCCCACCCCGCCTTTCCCTCCCTCCGCCGTCTCCCAGAGGAGGCGACAGACGGTCCTGTAATTTGGTTCCATTCGCTCGACTGGAGCAACACCTGCCCCCCTCTCTGGGGACAGGAGAGTCTCATCCCAAACCGCGCGAGGAGCCAAAGACAAATCTGAAGCCCACATGCAAATAGAGCCCAGGATAAAGCGACGTGGCCATTCTGGGCAGGAAAGGCAAAATCCGTCACCAGGGGAAGAGACGGCAAAAACAGAATTGGCTCAGAAGAAATAAATAAGAAGTGCCAGGAGATTGCCTTTTCCTTTTGGGTCGGTTGCTATTGTGGTTATTGATCTGTCCCACCCTGGAGAATAAACGGAGAGCACTGAAAAATAATGGCTGATATTAGAACGTATTTATTCCTCCTAAAAGGACCGGGTTAATTGGGTTACAGGATGGCTGGATACATGAACAGATAGAATGTCTCTGGTATTTCTTCATGGCTGTATAATGGAAAAGATCCATCTCTTTGTTGAATTTCATACACACAACAGCCCCTTCAGCTCCCCACCCCCCCGTGTCTCTCCCTCTCTCACACACACATGCACTCTTTGCTAGAAACACAGCAAAGATACGAAATCATAGCCAAGGCCCTCAGTATTTCTCTGCTGTAAATATAAGTGGTAATATACTACCTGGTTCACATGTGGAATAAGACAATACTTTGTACTATAGTCGCACGGGTATCAGCGTGTTTATTGGTAGAGGTTACTTTTGGCTTGCTGATTGTCTGCAGTTGCTGTATCAGAGTCTGGATCTGTTTGCAGGGTTTGGCTGAATCTGTTAGTTACCCCATTTCCTAACAGTATCAGTGTAAATGCATGTTGTGTCCTATATCTATTTGTGTCTATCTATATACGTCTGTAAACGTATTAAAACATCTTATTTTATGTTTAGGAGATGTCGGATATCTGTGGTTACTGGGGTATTAGAGATCTATACATTCAAAGTGCTTTCTGTACATGAGTGCTGTGTTTTATATATAGGGTTGAACTGGGCTTAAACCACTTATTTTAGCCCTAACTGATGCTCTTGGGGTTCTGCCTTCTTTGTCTCTGAATGTGCTTTCTTTCTCAGTCTGCAGGATGAGCTCCTCTTTAAATGTGAAAGAACAAAACCTGAATGTAGCTTCAGTGTTAACTTTAATCACTACAAACCCAGGAAATATTAACTCCTTCTTTTTGCCCTGCAAAAAGGTCTGGTTGTTGGACTGGCTGAACATGATGTAACCTTCCATTGAGCAATTCCATCCTGTTCCCACCATAACATTGTGCAAGATCAGTCAGTCCTGTATTTCCGAGGGAACACAGATGTAGGCAAAGTAACTTTGATTACATAATTAGAATTTATCACTCTGTAATGCAGATTTGCAATGAGATGGAGTTTATGTTGTTTACTCGTCCATAAATCCGGAGTTTAGAGCACTTAGTCATGCAGCCTTTTCACTGTGTTGTCCTTGTAACTTGTTCATACTATTCAGATCTTTCTTAATCTGTATTTTTTTAAGGGGGATGTGGGAGAAAAAACCTACGTCTTGTTTTCAGTGGTCATCAGCTGCTAGATAAGAATGACTTCCTTCTTGATGCCAGGAGAAAAGACAGAAGTGGTTTTGCTGATGTCACAGTGGTGATAGAACAAGAGCAAGGTGGTGAGTGGATGGAAGTGAGATGGATTTTTCAGGGAGAAGCAATTTTCTGTACCGGATAAATAGTTGCATTTGGAAGAAAAGAACACATCTTCAGGTCATGCACCCCAGCCTTTCTGTAGGTTAAAAGTGAGGCTGGATCTTTCTGCTATCAGCAAAAGCAAAGCCCTTCCTGCTTTCTCTCTGAGTACAGTCATGCTCTCTGTTGTCTTGGGGAATGGTAGGAATGGTTGAACCCAGAGAAGACTTTTGCTTCCCAATCTGAGCAGTACCCAGCCACCTTGGCAATACTCTCATCTGTGTTTGTAGGATAGGAACCTTGCTGGGCCAGGAGCCCAACCTTGTAGCCTGAGGCTGAGACCATGAGGAGCATGGTGGGGACACTTGCAGGAGCGTGCATTGGCCTCATTGCTGGGGCAAGGAGTGCCATGCTTATGTCTCTGAAACTCAGGACGCATTTGTGCTGATATCAGGGATATCAGCAAATATCACTGTGGGGCCCACGCTAGACCATCTCTCAGCCTGTGAGCTGATGTTTACACTACTCCAAAAAATGTGTTTGCAACACCCTAAGTGGGCAGAGAGACATTGTGTTCACATCTCCTTATCCCACAACCTGTGTGCCAAAATAAGGCACTGATAGCTGCAGTCACCATCCTCTCTTCCCTTAAACATGCATTCCCACACTTGGGAAGGAAGAAACGTGTTAATCTTTATATTATCTAAGTTCTCCTGGATGTTGGTAGCAGGAAGATTTGCTGGATGGCAGGACTTGCACCTCAGACTTGACCCAGTGTCCAAACTTTGGCAGATGCCAAGAAACAAGGCTGTCCTGAAGCAGAGCATCTCCAGAGCGGTGGAGTTATTTCAGCACTGCAAGTTGCTGGATTTGATAACTGTGCCTTGAACTACCCAGTCTGTGTTTGTCCCCTGGGACTTGGGAAGTGTGCATTGGTAGAAAGTGGAATTAACAGCCTCTCTGACAGGTTTTCTGCATGCAGCTTTTCAGCTGGGCAAGACCACACTTAATTAAACCACTGCACAAAGTGTCAGCCATAAAAATGGGAGGGGAGGGAGGGTTTTATCTCTAAAGCGAGTAACAATGGATGTGCTGCTCCTACTGAACGCAGCCTGCCCATGTCGATGGCAATGTTCAAACTGTGGGTAAAATTAACCCCTTGCAGTACAGAAGAAAAGAATGTCATAAGTCAGGTGGCAGCGAGGTCTTGCTTTACTCAGGCAGTAACCTTTCTGTTACTGAGTCTGTATCTGCGTCATGTTTCCCCTGTCAGTGGTGGAGCCTTATAAAGGAGAACAGATGAGGTTCTCGTAAGTAAGGATAGGACAAGATTTATTGCTTGGTTTCAATAGAATTGGACCTGACGTGACCGGGATCATAACCAAATTTAAACAAGAGCGAGGAAATCCACTCCATGCAGACAAGATGCAACACGTGTGTTTTGGTTGCGAAGTTGGACATATCAAAGAGCAGTGCAGCAAAGCAGGTGCTTCCCAGCATCGGCTTGGTTGTTACGGCCTCAGCCTTGAAACCTGCAGCCAAGCACAGGTTGCTGTGGGGCAGCAGTGACAGTCGTGCTGCTGTGCCTCATCCACACACCGGCAGCTGAGCTGGGGGGTGGCCGCCTCACACAAGCAAGGGGCAGGGAACCTGTTGGAGCTTTCCATGCACATCGTGAGCAGGTTTCAAGCCTTGTTCGCAAGGCAGGCAGTAGACTCTGTCAACCCTCGTTTTTTACAGAAAGACCAAAGGGGAGAAATAATTAGGAAAAAACCAGCATTTATTTGATACTTTTATTTATATGCAAAACAGGTCACCATTCATGAGAGATATGAAAAACGTATCAGATAGAAACCAGATTTATCTATTTTCACTACAAAATATTGCATTATATAAAGCAACAGAGACACACAAAAAAACCCTGAAAAAGACTAAAATCTTTGGATAGCAGATGTGGTTTTTTTTTGTTGGTTTTTTTTTTGTTGCTGTTTTTTCTTTTTCTTTCTCATCCCTAGAATGCGCTTCTTGCTTTAAGAGATTCACAGCAAAGAACATGAAACATTTTCAGGTTATAGCAATTTTTTTTTTCTTTTTTTTGGTTGTCACAAAGGAAAGCAGTCCTGGATTTACTTCTTTTTGTTTTATTTTATTTTTTTTAGGAAAGAAAAAAAGAAAAAGAAAAAAAAAAGTCCTTTCCTAAAAATATACCGCACACATACAGGCCACGCTCAGCCCCACACACATCCGCCTATAGGCACACGCAGCGATACACCCACAAAAGAACTACTTCCCTTATAAACGATTTGCAAAGTACTTCTCAGACGGAACTATAGATCAGAAGAACGACAAGTCTTAAAAAACTCTCCTAGTTAAGTGCTAGTGGTTGTCCATCCCACACACACACACACACACACACACGCACAGAAAAGAAAAGAAGGCCAACAAACGTCTTGGTATATATAAAATAGAAACGGGAAGGGAGGGAAGGTTTGTCACACACAAGTGCAATATAATCGGAGCGAAACAAACAAACAAGAAAGTAAACCAAAACAGAGCACTGCCTCGATCCCAACGCACACTTACGAACGTAATGTTCCACAGGAGAAAGTGTAAACACCCGACTATAGAAAACAATTGGCACAAAGTATCCAAAGTAAAATTGCCACCACTCTGAAAAATAAATAAGTCTTGAAAAAAATAAATTGTCAACTCCTTCTACCATAAATAAAAAATAGTTATTTTCAACCGCACCCACGGGTCACACGTTTAAGGTCACAAGAAGATGTTTTTGGATATATATAAAGGGGCACTTGACAGCCTGAAGGAACGATCCCATTTTACACTTCTCTGCTTAAAGCAGCGCTGCGACGCGACAGCGAGGAGAAGCCCTCCGCGCCCTCCGCCGGGCCCCGCTCTGCCCCGTGGCCGCCCGCGGGCTCTGGGGGCCGGGCTGACCGGCGGCGGCGGCGCGCCCCGTTCCGGCTTCCGCGGGGCCGACGGGTCGGGAGGGAGTTACACGTCCAGGACGTGGTTGAGATAGGAGATGTAGCAGATGGCGAGGCGCAGGATTTCGATCTTGGACAGCTTCTTGTCGGGGGGGAGAGTGGGCAGCAGCTTCCGCAGCTCGGCGAAGGCGAGGTTGAAGGCCTCCACGCGGATCCGCTCCCTCGTGGCGTGGGCCGAGCGGTACTTGGCCGTGGCTCTCCGTCGCCGCCTCTTCTCCTCGCGGCTCAGCGGCGGCGGGTGCAGCCCCGGCCGTCCCCCGCCGCGACCCTCCCCGCCTCCCCCTCCGCCGCCGCCCTCCGCGGGCTCCGGGTCGGAGACGCAGCAGCTGAGCGCCCGGCCGTCCGCGCCGCCCAGGGACTCCGGGTCGGAGGGCGCCGAGGAGGGGTGGTCGGAGTCGGCCGCTTGGTCCGGGCTGAGCATCATCGTGGAGGGGGCGGAGGAGCCTTCCCGGGACAGAGAAGCAGAGAGAGCGGGCTCAGAGCCCCCGTCCCGCGGCGGAGCGCTGCCCCCACCGCCGCCTCCCCGCGGCCGCGCTCCGTCGCGGAGCTGCCAGCGCTCGCTCCTTTGTCCGAGCGGCCCCGGAAAGCGAGAAAAGAAATACACCCGCCTTACTAACGAGCTAACATCCAGCGGCTCAAATCGGGCCGGTTTGTTTTCCTGCCATTTGAATACCTCCGTTCTCCCCTGCCAAACGCCGCCGCACCGTTGCTCTGTCGGGATGCGGGCTGCAGACCGCCGCTGGTAAATAAGCAGGGGAAAGCCCGGCTCGAGGCTCCCAAACATTGCGGGGAAATTCATTTCCCCAGTCCGAACTGCGGGATCTGCCGCGTGTGCCCGGATCTCCACTTGTTCTTTGCTCTGCGCTCCTTTCATTATTGTTATTATTATTATTTCTACTGCTATTTTCCTGACACTAGTCGTGGTATTCTCCTGCGATTATATGGGGACTATAGGAGAGCCGCAGGTTTTATTTTCTATATATATATATATTTAGGTGCGAATTAAGAAATGAACGATGAAAGAAGTAGGAAAACCCCAAAGCAGGGCCCGAACTTCCCGATTCCTTTAAATTTTCCCTCCTCTCCCCTCCCTGCGCGGAAAGGGTTGGGGGGGAGTGGGGAGGGGGAGAGTGGGGGGAAGGGGGGGAAGGAAGAAAGGGGAAATAAATAAATAAGTGCGGTGGTGCCTTTCAAAAGAAAATTGAATCGTAGCTTCTTGCGGCCTCACGGAGCACCATCTGTCATGTAGACAGCAGCACAAACCCGGGCGCGTACGGGGACATGCCGGCATGTAATAAAACAATACATCAGAGCTCGGGGATAACCTTGGACGCGGTGTGTGTGTTATGCCGGGTGCGTGTGTGCGAGTCGGGGGGTGTCGAGCGAGGAGGGGAGGGGGGCACGGCCCGTCTCCAAAAATCCCATCGCCGTGGATTTCCTTGTGAAGTTCCCTGGCAAAGTCCGCCTCGGCTCTCGGGGAAAATCAAAGGCAAGAATAGAGAACGGAACGGAGGGGCGGCCAGAGAGCTGGGCGAGCAGGGAGCCTCGCCGGGGCCGGGAGAGGTCCTTCCCCCCTGGATGTTAATAGGCACCCTGGATGTTAATAGGCCCGCAAGGCAGGGGTGAGGAATAACATAAGGGCAGCTCAGCGAGAAGGGCTACTTCTTGGGAGGAAAAAAATAAACAAAAAAATAAAAAATAAGAGTAGAATCCCCGCTCATCTGAGACCCCAGCGGGCAGGCTGGTTGAGAGCGCACCGGCGGGGAAAGGAAAGACGTGAATGAAAACGAGCAACGACAGAGGTGCTTCCCGGAGAAAGTTGCTTTAAGGTTTTTCTACGCTGTGAGATGAATATCTCCGTTTGGTTCGCTTTTATCGCGGTTGTTTCCCGCGATCCGAACCAGGTAGAGGCTCCTTTCTATTTCTTACCCCCTCCCCCGGCCACCCCGCACAGCCGGGGCAGGACGCACCGCTGGGCCGCTTACCTCGGCGCCGCCGCTCGCACCGCCGGTCCCCTCGGGTCCCTTCGCCCCCTCGGCGGTGCCTTTACAGTTCAGATGCGCCTCCGGCAGCAGAGCATGGAACAATTCAGAAAAAAATAATAATCAAACGGAGGGAATTAGGAGCTGAGCGGCGTCCTGCTCGGGTGGGGAAGGGAGGCTCTCATCCCTCGCCGCGGCCTCCAGCGCTCCGGAGATGTTATCGCCGTGCTCGGTGACGGAGTATAAATAACAACTTAAGTTACTTACGATGCATCGGGGGAGAAAAGAGCCGTTCCCCCATCCGAACCCTCCTCCGCCCGTTAATTCGGGGCAGCGGGCTGCAGAGGCGAAGAGCCGCGTTTAGGGGGAAAAAGAAAAATTGTTCGCCTTCTTCGTCCTCCTCTTGCCAGGATCAATAACAAAAGGGATGCGGAGGTGCCACCAGCGGGGCTGCTCCCCTCCCCGCCCCTCGGCCTCTCCGCAAAGCCGGGGTGCGGAGCCGGCGGTGGAGCCGCTTTGTTCCGCCAGGGCCGGCCCGGTGCCCGGAGCGGGTCGGGGCACAGCGCTCGTTCCTTCCTTCTCTCTCTGTATCTTCCTTTTGTCTTTTTCTTTTTTTTTCGCTTTTTCTTTTTTTTTTTTTTTCCTTTCCTTTTCTCCTTTTTTTTTTTTTTTTTTTTTTTTTTTTCTTTCTTTCTTTCTTTCTTTCTTTCTTTCTTTTTTTTTCCTTCTTCTTTCCTTCTTTCTTCTTTTTATTTATTTTTCTGATGCACCACACAGTTCGGTTAGTTTTCGCAGCTTCGGCAGATGAGAAGGGGAGACCCCGTTAGGAGACAAATGTTAGGCTCAGTAGTTTCTCAGCCGGTCCCTCAGGAGCTGGAGAGGGAGAGAAAAGAATCCCTCATCCACTCCCGAGGTTCCCAACTCCTCCTGCATCTCTGAGTGAAAACGAAGAGAGGACGTGAGGAAAGCAAAGCAGAACAAAACAGATAAAAAACAAAAAACAAAACAAACAACCCCACCAAACCCCAAGAAATAAAAATCTCGCCGCGGATTTGGGAAAGGCTGTAGCACGAGGTGCGCTCACGCGCAAAATAAAAGTGTCGTTCCTCCTCCCACTCCTCCCAGAGCGACTGAGCAGCCGAGGAGGGATGCGGAAAGACAGACAGACAGCGCGGAGATGTGCGCGGAGAGCCGCTCCTGGTGCCAAAGGGTTCAGCCGAGAGATGGTTGGAAGAGATAAAGACTCAGAGAAAAAGGGGACGGCATTTTTTTCCCTCTTAAATTGATATTTAATGGGAAATCCTATTGGACAGAAACCTGGACACGAGTCTCTTAATTGGACTTGACATCTGTCACAGTGTGGGAGTTTTCACAGCTCAAATATTTTCAGCAGATCAGATTCTCGCTGAATCTGTGCCACAAATTATAACAGTCGAGAGCAGCCCATGATATAAAGCCTTGCCTCTGGATATACGGTCTCTCGCCACGCTCGCTCCCACCGCACCCCCTGTCCCCTTCCCCTCCCCAAAATATCGGATACCCACTGATCTAGAAAAACACCGCTGGCATTTTGCATGCAAGCTAATAAATAGGCTTTAAACATCAATTTGCATCATGTACATTGAGCCTGTGGAGAATTGCCAGGCTTTTCTCCCAGTGTTTTTATTTCTGCTCTCCCCATGTCCTGTGTCCACGCACTCTCCCTGCAAGTCTGGTGCAGGGCAGGAGCAGCTCTGCTGGAGTCATTGTGTGGGGGCAAAGAGCCCTCCCCCCCCAGTTTGTCTGTCTTTGTCTGCCTGATGCCCCCAGGTTCCAGCATGCAGGCAGTGAGGCGAGTGAGCCTTTTCTGCTCACAGGAGGCTGGATGGAGCCAGGTCCCTGCCTGCGGGAAACAGGGGTGTCTGTGACCAAGGTTACTTCTTGTGGTGATCCTGGACTTGCCCCACAGAAGAAACATCTGCAAGAAGATTCTAGTGGATATTCATGTGGGGGAAAATAGGGCATTCCTCTTCCTTCTCCTATCCAGAACGGGTCTCCAACGCAGTGGGACACTGCCACTTGCTTAGGTGCTGTGGCTCCATCTACTGCCACTGGATTCATGGGTATCCAGCATGAGTTCCTTACTTTAGAGGAGCTTCTGGAGGTGTTTGGCTAAAGGAAGGTCTGAAACGTGTTATCTTCCAGTCCCAATAAGGATTTCCTGCATCTGTATAAACCTCATGCTGAGCTTTAAGGAGATGTCACTGTGAGGTGCCCTGCTCTGCCTAGAAAGAGATGTCACGATGGAGCTCAGAAGTGTGTTTAAGATCCTAGGTATCAGCTCTCAGTAACTCCCTTTGCCACTATGAAAAGAAGCATTCATCCAAGAGGGTTCAGATGTAAATCACTGAGGCCGTGGCACATCCCTATTCGGATCAGCTTACAGGTAGCTACCACTGGTGCTCTTTGGAGATATGAACCATTCAAGGACTCTGCAAGAATAATGTCCTCATTTTACAAAATTACCACCATGCTATGCTTCAAGCAGCATGATGTCAACCCAATAGCCTGCTCCTCTTGGGCTGGAGGGGTGAAGAAGTGTGGGAAGTCTGGTCAACTCTGCCTCCCCTAGCTTTGTGCAATACAGAATTTGTTATGCTATTAATCTCTATGGGCTGTGGAGGTTCTGAAGGATTAAAGTTCACACTGTGAAGCAGATCTTCTCCAGCTCTCATTTGTCCATGGCTCAGGGACTGGTGACTTTGCCTTGAAGCACTACTCAAGATGTCACCCTGAGGCCTAAGCCCACAGAAGCTATGGGTGACAGCACATGTGTTAGGCTAAGGCTGCCACAGACAGCAGCCAGGAAGCTGTTAATTCATGCAAGCCACTCTGCTCTCTGCTGCAGATGCTGTCATCACATGGTTTGCTTCTTATTTTTACTTTCTGGGATGAGACCAAGCACTTGCATCTCAGTGCCCTTCAGTTAGGAGCAGGCATTTCTGACACCTCTTAAAGAACTGCTTACTACCACTGTGATCTGATTACCCCACTGCTCTGCTCTCAGCTGTGTTAAATCCAGAGGTTCCCACCCTGCCCTGAGCATGTCAGGCCTGTGGCATCTCCCCAGCTGCCCTACTGCAATACGCACATCTTCTCACATCAAACACAAGAGCCAGAGTGTAGCTTCTGTGCCTTTAGCCCCAAGAAGCCATTCAGAGATACTGGAGTTGACAGCCTGACAGGAATAGCGACCCAGAGCTCAAGTGCAAGGCCAAAGCCTTCCAGTGGAAAGCTCCCATGCCTCACTCTGCTTACAAGTGGAGGGAGAGTCTGGTCACGGCTCGACTGACTGCGATGTGGAGGTCACCAGAAACAACCCAAAATTCTGTGGCAGAAGAGCAGTTAAAGGATGGACAAGAAAAGCTCTTTGTTAAGATCACTATGTCTTTCTGATCAGAATATGGTCCAGTGCAAGTGGACATCTGCACTTTGGGAATCAGTATGGTCCCAAAGGAATTTGTGTAATTGCAAGAACATCTTACGACTTATATCATCAAATACAGTCATGGCCTATGGTTGTTCTTTTCACTAAGCAAGCATCACTGGCATCCAGACTAACTGAAATGCCCAAATGGCATCAAAAGTATCACAGGTGACCTCAGTGGCATGATTAGCACAGGTTTGGCTTCCCCATAAAAGGTGAAAATTAAGTTTCCAAGCAGCATCTGACAAAAAAAAGGATAGGAAAAAAGGGCATAACAAAGGTATAGTACACATGGATGCTCAGGGGTGATGCATGGATGTGGCCATCCTGCAGGTCAAATCCATGCTGGTGAACCTAGAGGCTCAAGTGGGCAGACATCTCCTGGAGGGGAATCTGGGATTACATCTCGATATGCTGGAGGGCTGTAAGGGAGCCAGCAGCATCTGTTCTCCATTAGCTGGCTTTGAGATGCTGCCTCCAGGGCTGGAAGCATGGGAGAAGTGGAGCTGAATTCCTATGGATGGAGTTGCAGCTCATACAGCACCCATGATCTTCTGAGCAAGCTCCTAAGCTTGATGACAATGAAAGATGGCCAGAGAGAGACTCACAGTGAGTAGAAACACATTCCACCTTTGTAGGGACCATCTCACTGAAAAGCAAGAAGAAACTGTTTTGATTTCCAAGGCTCACCAGCAAATGAGGAAAATCTTGAGACACATACTGCTCATTGGGTAAGGCCCAACATAGAACTAATTTTAGATAATTGCTTAAAGAGAGTAAATAAAAGCTTCCCAGTGCTGCAAGAATACAGCCCATCAGTAAAACATCACTGGTCACCACATATTGAGTGATGGATGATATTGAATCTTCAAGAGAGATTCATAACCTGGGGCTTCCCAGAGTGACAGTGGGGCCGGGCAAGATTCACAGCAGGGTCATCTGCAGGATGTAGAGGCAAGACTGAAATTGGCATTGATGTTTGGTGATATTTGATGGAAAGGAGGTGCATGCTTGCACGAACATCTCAAACTCATGTCATGCCATCATCGTCTTTTGCTAGAACAGACCTGAGTTGGCTGTACAACACATGAGTGAAGCACTAATGGCCTGGAGTAGATGTTTGTTACTGCAGAAATGTCATTCTGGCCTGGCAAAGAATAAAAGTGAAGGAACTCAGCTGGGCTCTCCAGCACTAGATCAGGTATCAGGACAGCCATTTTTCACTTGCAGTGGGAGCAAACCTCCCAGGGCTGTCGCGGGAGACATCAGACATAGGAGACCTACAGTGCAACTTTTATGGTAGTGCTTGTCAGAGCAGAGCTATACTTCCATTACTGACATGTCCTCTATCTGTGGAAAGGACAACTTTCCAGAATGCTTGAGAACATTCATTCTCTTTTATAGCATACGCCATTCAAGTTGCTGGCATATGCTGCCCATTGAAATAAATGGAGCTTGTCACTCTTGGATATGTTCCTTGGAAATAAACGGTCAAACAAATTAGAACTCTGAGCCATGAAAATCTGTGTCTTTTTGAAAAATCTGTGCTGGGTAGAGCTTGGCAGCTCAATTTGTGGTTTCCTTGGACATTTGGGTGATGTTTTTTGTTTTCTACCAGTCATGTTTGCTTTCTCTAGGCGAGGGGGGGGAGGCGAAAGAGGTGGGGGAGGGGAGGGTGGTGGAGCTGCTTTGATAACCGCACAGAAACCTTGAGGATGCTGTCAGGAGCAACCTTTTGGATCCCAGGCAATAAAGGCTACGAGGTCTGGATGTAAGGCAACCTTGGGAGGTCTGTGAGCTACTGGTTGACTGGCATGCCCTCTGGCTGTCCCCTTGCAATGTGAGGGTGACTGTCCCAGGGATTCTGTTTAAACTTGTTGTCTCCATGCTAGTTAATGTGTGAAATTGGTGGTTTTGGATAAAACCCTATTTCTTTTTACACAGTACAAGCTTTTGGCTCATGACACTCGGTTTCTGTTTTAGTTCCCTTTGCTTGTTGGATTAGACCAGCTGCAATGTTAAGACCAAGCTCCAGCTGTTACTGTGATCAGTATCCACCACCAGGCTGTGACCCTTCACTGCCGCATTGCTTCGATATGTTTGAAGATCATCCTTGCAATGTTACTTAATGTCCACAGCCCTTGTGAGGGCAA